ATGCACTCTAATTCATTTTTTAGTTGATGAGCACAACTATACGATTAACCTTTAACTGGTGCGACGTAAAGTTGTCCTAATGATAGGTATTTTAGACGAGAAATTATACTTCGTGACAAACTTTTGATTCTGGTGAACTATATGTGAATAAGGTAACGAAATAAATAATCGTTGGTATAAACATGATCTTTTGAGTGTCAATTTTGCTTTCTGTCTTATTGTAGCGTCGAAATTAAATCAAACAATTTTATTGTATTTGGTACCTCAAAATAAAAGTTGATTGTACGGACGTAAAAAAAAAATGTATATGTATATACACATATATATATATAGTTGGTCGTTCCACGGCGGAAATAAAACAGCACAAAAAATGAGTGATCATTCTAGCTCTTCGAACTGGTTTGAACCGATATTTTGGCTTCCTGGAACTGAACCGGAACTGAAGCGAAATCTATGAAGCCGAACTCGAACCAAACCGATGAAAATTTAGGTTGGACACCATGCACTCCACCATTCCTTCACAGGGGCTGGACAGTGCGTGTACCTCGAGCATTCATGCCCTCTGTGCTGCTTTCAACACTTTAGAGAATTGGAAGGAATTGTTTTTGTAGCCGCAAAGTCACGGCGGTGGTGTGACAACCTTCACTACTGTTGAATATTACACCATCAAGGTGGCATTCTGCCTGTGAAGCAAACATTGAGTATGGCGAAACTAGCGCAGGTATTTGGGTTTGTCTCCAACGCGCTTCTAGCATTGTCGAGCATTCGACAGGTGGCATTGGGACCACTGCGCTGCCAGAGCCCTTCATACACTTTCAAAAAAACGCTCCTAGCACGCCGCCATGTTCCTGATTATGATTTACCAAATGCGACTATCGCGGACACGATTTTTTGTATGACCGGCCACTAGAACCACGAAGAACGGGCAAGGCACGTACCAATTTACGAAAGACAGAGATCAAGTAAGACAACGCCGAGTGGGCTCTCGGTCGCTTCCATCTTGTTTTTCGGCTTCTCTAGGGCAGGAGAAATCTCTTCGCCTTTATTTGTTTTTGCCATTTAGACCTTTTCACTTTTTCCAACTTCTTCGATGTCCCCCGCCGCCTGCACTAGCATCAAACACGGGTCCGAACCCCCTCGATTCGCGGGTTCACATATCGCGTAACAGACGATGTAGCTTCGCGCGAGGTTGTCGAATTATCTTTGTCTTTGATGTGCGCTACTGTATTTTGGCCATGCTCTTGAAGCACGGCTGAAAAGCACGCGGCGCGAGACTAAGCACATCGTATTCAAGGGTACGGACGATACTTTTTTGGTTTACTTGTCGGGGTATGGTGGTCGACTCCACCCCTCACTTTACGGTCAACTGTCAACATAAAAGGAGGAAAGAAGGAGGGGAGCGGCGGTTAGATAATCTAAAGAGTGTTGACAGAGAGAGAGAGAGAACGCGTAGAAGTGGTGTGATCCTCTATTGTTTTGTGAGACCGATGGCCACCGCTTCTCTCGCTCTCTATGCCCGCCCCTCCCCTGGCCTCCTCTCAAATTAGCATGAAAGTGAGAACCGATGAACGATCCATAACCCATAACTGCCAATTTTTCTCTGACTGGTCGAGTCTTCGGTCATAGAGTGTCTGTCGTCTCCATGGCCATCTCTTAATGAGATGTTCAAAATTCAATGCAGTAAGGAGAACGAAAACCTAGAGTTTTAATGCATACTTTGCTTGCCAAAAAAAAGGAAACACACATTGTCATCAGCAAGAAGAACAAACTCTAATCTACGAAAAACACATCAAGGTAATCTGGTACACCTGTATTCTGCATTGGCTATACATTATAACGTTAGAACCAAGTCTTTCTTTTCTTGTGAATAACAGGCGAAACACCCGGGTCAAAACGTAGCTTTCGCAGAACGCTTCTTTAGCTCCGAATCTCGTAGCGGAGGTAGACGCGGCGCCTGAGCATGCGCACCGCTAGCTTTATCTGCACAATTTCATAGATCATTTTCGGATGCCGTAAGTTAGCGGGATGGCGGGTGTGGTTGCAGCTCTCGGTGCCTTGTCAGCTTACAGGTGAACAGAGTGCACCTACACTTTTCTCTTAAAGGGCGACTCCGGCCAAAACTCAAAATAAAACAAATTACTGGTATCACTGTAGTGACACAAAATACGACCCCAGCCAAAATATTACGCCCGTGGGCCGCCGCGTTCTCAACTTATGCCGATAATAAAAATGCGACCCGCTGCGAGCCGCCGATCCTTAGCGGGCGGCCAGCGGGTTGCCAATCGCTAAAGCAACATTGGGCCGTGACGTCAGTATCGTTCTCTTTTTTTCCTCCGGTTTGCGCTTAGAGTATCGGTACTGCGTTCCACGACATTGTTGTGGGCGCCGCCATTCTGGGGCTTGTGCAGGGCAGACGCCACTGCATATCGTCATGACTCAAACGTGCGACTTCCTCAGCATTAGATTCGGTGTAAGGAAGCTCTTGTAATATTGCTTTGCTCTGTTGCAAACTGTATAAACGTTTGTGGACGGCGGTAAAGAGTTTCCTGTGATTTCAGATAAAGCTTCAGATAACTGGCAACCATGATTTTAAGCCACAATATGGCTAAGAGTCGTTACTCTGAAGCGTAGCTTATTTAGTGGCGCTAGTCCGGGCGTTGCGCGGAGTGCGTTTCTTTGAGCCGCTACCACCGCTACTTCGGCTTGTGATTGGCGTGTTTAGCCGTTGCTTTTATCTGTAGCCCGTCTAGCTTTGGTATAGCCTTTTGTTCATTTGCTTGTGAGGACTCCAAGACTCGTTTTAGCGAGCAACTCGGTGCGCCCAGGACTGCCCAGCTGTTCCTCGAAATATGCCGAGTACAACTTGTAGCCCTGTGAGCTGCTCAAACAACCCTCTGCGCAACATGCAGGTGCTTTTTCACAAGTGTCCGACGGACCGGAAATTGGAGAAGGTGTGGGTGAACGCTGTTGGACGAGTGGACTTTGGACTTCGGCTTTTACGCACCCGAGGAAAAAATAACGAAAAAAAAAAAAAAAGAGAGACGTCTACAGCCCAGCCCACGTGTGTTCGGGCGCCGCGGCCCGCGCCGGAGAACCTCAAAGCATCGTGTCTGGGACTGACCCGCAGCGCGAAAGCGAGATGGCCCCCAGTACTGTACGTCACTGGCAGCGCGGCTTAGAGCAACGCCGCTCCATCCACGGAGCCCCGATGACAATTTAGGCCTAGCAACGAGTACGAAAGACCGCACACACGGCAGAAGCCGCCGAGTACGGCACCGAACGAGTTCACTCGTTTTCCAGTCGCTAGCTTTTGGGTATACGCACTAACTCTTGCTACATATGCTGGATAACTACCACGTACTCAGAATTAAAACAAAATCAGCTTATCTCCTATATTTAGACGGCTAGCGTAACAGAGATAGGTGCCGCTCGGCCTGCGTACTCGTTGAACGGAAACGATCCTGACGTCACTTTCACATAGCGGATGATTTCCAGTGTTGCCGGGGCCTGAAGCGGCTAGTTGCGGGTTTGTTGGCTGCGCCCCAAACAAAACTTTGAGGCGTCGATATCTTTAAAACTACGCACAATAACGAGAAAAAAGCTACACCTTGCAATTTAGGGACGCTGACTGCACTAAAAACAGTCATAATCCCAAAATCGAAAGTATGGACCGGAGTTGTCCTTTAAATAAATATATTTTATTTTTACAATGACTGATATAATACGGGCGTATACGAATTGAGAGGTAGTGTTGCAGAACATTCTTGAAAAATATCAAAATTTTTACTTTTGTTTTTTGGAGAAGTGTAAGGAAAAAGTAACTGAAAGTAATTTGTAGCGTAACGAGTAAAATAATCCGTTACTTTTCAGCGAAAGTAATTTGTAGCGGTGATCCATTACATTTGAGGCTCGGTAATTTGTAACTGTAATTCATGACATTTTTCAAGTAACAAGCACAAGTCTGCTTTCACGTGTGAGTCCTGTCGTATATATCGGTAAATACACATTATGTGCGCGGCGAATACCAGGCCTTTCTACAATCTTTTGTGGACAACTATTTTCTACATTTAAGAACTTTGTCGATTGGCACGGCTGAGTGGGTGGCGGTGTAAAACAATACTGTAAATTAATGCAGACATTGTAGTCGCATTCTTACTGTTGCACGAGTACTCGACAAAAATACCTCACAGTTTGTTTACACTACCAGAGATAGCACAAGGTTTTCTCAATTGCCTCAAGAATTTATATACGCCATGAAACGCGAAAAAGATTACAAAAAACACGATAGTTTCGCCGCCAGCAGTGTCTGAAGTTGCGTCTACGTACGCTGCAGCTTGCGAAATCACAGCTCGCTCGTTAAGGGCTACAAGGATGCAAGGAGAGACCGGTCTCAAACCCAGTGAGTATTTTTAGGAAAACATTTTTTTTGTCCCTGCGCTGAGTCCTTCTTGGAAAGCTGTATTGGTAACTTTCACGGTCTATAGGGGCGTACTGCTTAGTATAAAAAGGGCTGTCATTTGTATGATTGTTGTAAAACACTAGCACGAGGTTGGGCTGTGACGCGTACGTAATTCTAGTTTCGTGAAATACGAGTGATATAGGAGCCTTGTCTCATGCCTCCACGTTAGGAAGGTGGAAGCGTGCGTTTTCGGTCTGAGGCCGATCTTCCAGGAGCTAGAAAGCGCGATTCTCACACCGCGGTTTCACCATAGCTGAGAGTTGCGAATACTACGCGCTGCATGCTGTGCCACGTTTTAGCTCATATTGAATAAGATGGTGCACTCCCTTGTGGGTTGAGTATTTGTATGTAAATGTCAACTGCATTTTTAGTGCACAAGGCTGGCTTGCGCTTCTACTTGTGTTTTATTCCAGTGTCACCTTTTTCGTGCCGCATATCAGATCGTCATAATTCGTCAAGCATACGATGGGGTCACGATATATTTCCGGAATGTTTTATTGCCCTGATCTGATAGCTGAGAGCGGCGCATTGGTTGTCCCAGGTTCTGCAGCAGTACGAGAGCGGCGCAGGAGGCTACAGTTCTCGAATCGGGATCGTGGCGTCTGGAACGGCCGCACCGCACGACGACAATGACGACGACGACGACTTTGACCTTGACAAGATCAGACCGAGGGTCATCCTCCAGGAGGAATTGACGCCCGAACATTCTCCCAGTCCAGAAAGTGAGTCGACAGTAGACGATTAACCACTCCCCAGTGTTAGAAAGTGACGCACATTATCTGGAGCCTTTGAGCAAGGAACTGTTGAAACCACGAACGGCTTGAATAATTGGGTCGAATTGCTGGAGACAAAGTCTTAGCTAAGATTGTGTGAAAGAAATTACAAGGAAAGCTATTGCAGGAGTGGGCCTGAACGTGAAGTCGAGTCTCAGGAACTCGTGTGCCCTAGACTTGGTAGCACTTCTTTTATAGTCATAGGTAATATAATATTTCTAGCAAGAAGGACATAGTGATGAACTGCTTATGACGGAATCGTCTTCTGATTGCGCACCTACCATCTTGCAAACATTTGAGCAGTGACGGCGTCCATAACAAACGGCTCTTGAGTTAGAATTTATTAGAGCCTCCTGGACACGTGTTTTCATTTACGGGGTAGGGCTTCTTTCGGGTGATCACTCCTGTACACTTCAGAGGCAACGTGACTAGCTATTCTTCTTTGGGTATTGGCTTCAAAAACAAGCATAAAAAATCTGTACATTCTGCAAAAATGAGCTCACTCAGACTATAATGCAACCCAAAGGGGGTAAATTGCCGAATGGGGTGCCTCCTACATGCTAACTTATAAAAGCCAACTGCCACACTGCGACGATAGGGGAAACAAATATTGTTTTGTTTTCCCCCAGTAGCTTAACGTATCCGGTTTTCGTGCTTTCCCGATCTAAACGGTGCCGCTCCAGCTCACAGTACCGCACGCTATACATCTAAATCATGTGTTGCGAGAAGACGCAGGTAACTGGCTTACGCACTAGTGTATGCGTAGCTTCCACGTGACGTTATCAAATTTTACTAGTGGTTCTTGCTGCTTGTTCTTAAAGAAAAAAAAAACTTCAGTGATGCGACATGTACTATTCTGAACAATGTGAGCACAAACAGTCGTTCAGGCTTCAAGGCGTGCCTGCCAGTTTTTTAAACAAGTGCGGTCCGAATTAGGAATAGATTCCGAATCCGAGGTTCCAAACTTCGAGCAATTTGACAAATTGAGAGATAATACAGTTTGTGGGGACGTAAAACGCAGAACAAGGGCAGAGCTGGAGTTTCAGCTCATATTCTCCGCGGGGGTAGGGCGCAGGAAATACACGTTCAGCAGCAAAGCCACCACAATGGCCACATGTGAGACGTCAATTGTGTATGGGTTCTAACCTAAATAAACAATAGAACTCCCCATTGCAAGAAGGCTGCATGAACTGAGCACCGATGTTCCATCACGAAAGAACGTCGGAGTCCGTGCCGTCAGATAACCCTCTATACGACCCCGTCACGCCCCCGCTATGTCGCTAATCTGGTAATACCACTTGGCCTTTGAAGCTCGGCAAACAAAGCTCTTGATAAAATGTATGTTCTGCGTATCTTGCGAGCACCGATAATAATTGTGGGGCACACGCATTAAACGTGCACTTGGGTTTTCTTCTTGTTTTGCTTTATTCGATATTTAAAAAAAATTTTACACCCTGACGTAATCCCACGAGTGTACGCACCTTCTTTATATCTCCTTCCCAGTACGTACCAATACTTTGATATTCACTGGCATGGCACAACTTCGCTCGGCGCCTCTCGGTACTGGGCCACATCGTAATCTAGCTACTCAGGAAAAAACAAAAAAACAAAAACAAAAAAAAAACGGTAGAGCGCTTAGAGCCAGATAATGGCGAGGCTGTGTGGAAGAGATTCGCTATACCTTATTTTATGTTTAAGGTCACTAACAGGACGAGTTCAGTGCGTCCCTTTGGCACTCTCGGCCTCCAGCACGAGCTCGCTGCCTTCAGTCATACTTTGACTACGGCGCACACTCAAAGCTGATTCCAAACTTCTATGAACACTAGGGAGCTCGCGCAAGCGGTGGAACAACCGAATGACCCACTGTCATTTTTATTCCGACATTACAAGATGAGTAGGCATTCATTTTACCGAAGCTTATTTTGCCGAACGCCGGTTTAGAGACCCCCGTTTATACAGTATGTAAACTAACGCATTTAAAACACTTAAGACAGCCCACAAAAGGCGATTTCTGAACGTATTGCGCTGCGATTGACTAGAAAGATTCAAGGAGGCACCGAAAATGTACAGTGAAAAAGTAAAAACTAAACTTACCTCGTTAAAAAAAATTAAAACAGAAACCTGTTTTGGGAATCTCCGCCGACACTTCGCAGACGAGTGAGTACTTCTACCGACAGATGGCGTACGCCGCGTCCAGGGAGCAAAGCCGCATATTTGGGGAGTTAGTCCAACGGACGGAGCAAAGGCCACCACCACCGTCGAATATTTTCCCCGCGGTTAGATCGTAAACTAAAAGTGCGACACGGCGTCGGCCAATCAGCAGACCTCGACGTCGCTATTTTAGAAGCGACATCTAAAGAGATACCACAACAAAACTGTGGCGCTTATCTTTTTGGACTATACGTATTCCAAGGAGCAGCATCACATCGTACACACCAATATCTCGTTAAAAAAGACACGCAAGTGAATGTTAAAACAAATGAAATGATTCGCAAAGAGCACCTGATCGATGTCGCTAAAGCCTTGTTTGTAATGCCCTTCTAGGAACCTTGACAGGTAGTGACGACAACTGTCTCGCCTAGAGCAATGCATGCTTTGAACCTGACGCTCTCCCGACATGCTTTAAGCCAGAGAAGAGGGTAGTGAGGAACTCTCCACTCAACAGGACTTTCTTTTGTGTGTCCTAAAGTCACTGGATCTAGGAAAGCAGCGCCATTGCCTTCCCACCTGCTAGCCGGACACAAACGAATACCAACATACAGATGACAAAACCTCTTAAGGTGATTGGCTTATCGCTGTCGGTTGCTATGGTGATCGTCATTGTGGACCCTTTGAAAGCATCGAAGCTTCGAAAGGGTCGTTAAAATCTGTCGTACCAAAATTGCTATGGAGCTTCATCGTACTGAAAGCGTTCTTCGACTATTATGAGCCTCTTCTGCACTGTGCATGAAATAAACTTATCACTCACGCTTATTTCCCCAAATCCTTTACAATTATGTTGCTTTTCTTGCGCGTTTCGAGGCAGTGAAATTATTTGTGAATGCCTCCAAGCACTGACGTTGTGTGTCATGGCGGTACGAAGCTGTACGTCATCGCATGCGGCGTCGGTGTTTTGGGTCATTGAAAAATAATGTTACTGTCTTTAAACACACAAGAAGAGCAAGGTAATTATAAGAGATCTAGGGAAATAATCACGAGTGATACGTTTATTGCATGCACAGTGCCAAAGGCGATCGTATTGGCCGAGGAACGCTTTCAGTACGATGATGCTCAACACACGAACTCAACTATCCTACGTCACGCCGCGGTGGTGGCGCATCGGGCGCACTTCCGTTCTGAGGTGGTGGGCAGAAGTCGCGGTGCGAGACATGCATTCCTGCGTTCTTTTGAGAGAAACCAGACACAAAAAACCTGCCTTCTCGTTGAAATGCTGCGACGGGGACTGTACCAAGAGAGTCTGGAAAGGTTTGGAGATCAGTTTTCATGTGTTTCTGCCCCCTCCGTTCGTCCGAGAACGTGGTTAGTACCGTGACAAGGGCAAACCAGACGCTGTCGAGCTACAATTGCTTGTGCGGGCAACACTTTGTGCTCGCCAGATGTAGTTGTGTTCCAACATGAACGAGAGAAAACCGCCAAGTTGTCCGGACCACCTGCGGGTTCAGTGCGTCTTCAAATTCACACGGCCGCCTGATCGTTCCAACTTTCGTCTGCCCTTTCGAACTTGTCGGCTTTTTGTCGTCTGCTCGTTCAAACAAAAGCGGCACATAGACCAAACTTTGACCCGGTGATTGCAATAAGAAGTAATTGCAGGCCTCAAAAGACTTAAGTTGTCTCGGTACAAACAGTAGACACAAGATGTTGATCATTGGTACCAGTGGCCATCCCCGACTTGCTACGCTTGGTCTGTTCCCGCGTCCAATTTTCAACATCGACGTCGATCATCGCCGTATACCTTCCACACTTCTGCAGCACGAGCGACGTTGCAACCGAAAATAGCTAGAAGAATCTCATCACGGTTTTGGCGTCCATTCTGCGGCGTTCATGCGAATGAATCGCCGCACGTCAAATTATTTACGCAATGTTTAGCGGCGTAACGAACCTTCATAATTTCGCTCAGGCGATTAAAGTGGTAAGACATTGCTATGAGGACGTAGAATCGACGATTCCAACGCGAAAAAGAGTATGCAGACTCGCACAGACATCGACGACGTGACATTCCGGTGGTTTGTTGACGCGGGACGCGGTGCTTCTTGCCCGCACTCCATTGCGCATCCGTTCTAACTGTCGTCTGCTCTTTCAAACTTGTCTGCTTTCCGTCGTGAGCTCGTTCAAACGACAGCTGCCCGTAAACCAAACGTTGACCCGCTAATTGCGATAAGAAGTAAGTGCAGGCCTCAAAACACTTTGGAAGGTTGGTTGGGGTAAGTAGGCTAAGTGTTAACAGTAGATGCAAGATGTTGATCATTGTTACCAGTGGCCCTCACCGACTTGTAATGCCTGATTCTAGTTGCGGTTTTCAGTATCAACGTCCACCATCTCAGCTACAATCCACGCTTTTGCAGCCCGAGCGACGTTGCGACTGAAAATAGCGAGATGAATCTCATCGTGGGAGTCAGGCTTTAGCGCCCATTCTGCGGCGTCCACGTGAAATGAATCGCCGCACGTCTCATTATTCACGCAAAGTTTTGCGGTGTAACGAGCCCCGTTAATTTTGCTGAAGCCGTTCAAGTAGTCAGACATTGTTAGGAGGGCGTAGAATCAACAATTCCAACGCGAAAAAAGAGCACGGGGACTCACACCGACGCCGACAACAACGCAATTCAATGGTTTGTTTAGAGGCGACGGCGAGCTCCTTGCCCACCGTCCACCGCGCATGCGCGTCGCCGGTGGCGTCCATTAGGGGCGCTCCGGTTTGTTTGTAAATATGACTTGGTGTATAGCGATCTTGGTACG